GTACGCAATGTCTATGTTATATGTTTGTCTATGTTATATGTGTTGATTGCTAAGTTCTATTTTTTGGATGTGAACCCGTTTTCATTTCAATTTGTTAATAATATATTTCTATGGGCTTGAATTGGCATTATTGTTATTAAAACAAGCTGTTTCTGTATTCTGAATTGTATTGATTATTGATGATATGAGGAAGTTCATGAAGTTAATAATAATAGAGGACGATAAGAATTAATTATTGTATTTAAAAGGGGATTATTATTGTTATTGTTATCGTTATTGTTATTATTATTATTATTATTATTATTATTATTATGTTGATGGTTTAGTTGAGAGTGGAGTTTCACCGTGATCTCATATTGTTATCGAATCCTGATTGGTTTACAGAGTTGTTGTTCCTAGTGAAGTTTCGGATTGGCTGGATAGAGGGTAGTCATGGAAATTATTCTTGTTGATTGCTAAGGGATGATGGTGGAGTTCTTTGATATGAATTTCTTGTGTTATTTGGTGGGGTGATTTTCAACAATTTCCTTGTAGTATAAACAGTTCTCATTTCTTACATCTGCACGCTGATTGCCTTTGCAAAGAATGCAGGTGGGGGTTGCTTTACTTTCAGGACAAGTTACAATATAGTGATTACCAGAACATATTGCGCAGTTTTGTGATTGCAATTGTTTCTAGAGTGTCCGAAGTCCATACATCTATAGCACTGAAGTGGACCTATTGGTCTTTTTCTTTTTTCGGTGGTGACTTTGAGATTGCATATTTGATTAAAGTTGAGTATTGTTTCCAGTGGTTCATTGCCGTTGAACGCCGATTCGATAGTATCGAGATCTAGCGGTTCTTCCTAGTACTTCACTTCCATGCATGTGCGAGGTAGAGAGCAGACCATGGACCATGCATTTATAGAAATTATTTCCAGCGACAGCCAAGAAAAAATGCACTGCTTTTATGAATAACAGTAAATTAAAATATGTAACCAAAATAGTAGCGCCACGAAATGGGCTTTTGAAAATTGCCTCTCTGTGCGGGCACCCGCCGCTAATCCGCCGCCACCACCCGCCCGGGCGATGCTCGCGGTGCCGCCGACCTGGGAAAGGCTGCGCGTCGCACGGAGAAAACGGTGAACGATTTCGCGTGAACGAACTTAATCAAGTGCAAGGTCATTTCATGTAACTATGTGTGTATAAGTAATTTACTAGTTTATTTTGTAATTCAATTCTGTTCATGGTCGTTCATTTTTTTAAGATGCCAAAATTTTCCTTCCCCACTTGGCAATTTGCGGCTAAAATAATAGGAAAAATACGTCGGAGAATTATTTGCGTTCTTGGTGCACCGCCCATCCGCTGACAAAGCCGGGCAGCTTTCCAACGAAAGGGGATAAGCCTGGGGAGTTTCCAGGAGGGCAGTTGATGTATAATATATTAATGAATAGATATATTTGTATCTATTCAATGTATATTAAAGGATATACACTTACTTTTGATACAAATATAGAAAGAAATATTTCTATAAAAATTTCAAAAGTCTGCCTTATGAAACTTTTGCATCCGCTGAAATTCGTACGCCCCCAAAAATTGCGTGCCCCAGGCTGCAGCCAACTCAATCTGTTCGGTAATCTCACACTGGTTGGGAGAAATGGTGCGATTTAGCAGACGTGTAAAAGGACATGATCATTGGCTTTCGGGCCAAGAGAGGAAGCAGCTCCGAAATGGCTGAGATTGTAAAGTGTGCATCCGTTCTTAAAGTATATTGGGCATGGTAAAATGGCGATATCCGAAACCCGCGACGAGACAACTATGTCGATAGATGACAGGAGAACGACTGCGGAAAAGAGTACGGGCGAAGACATGCAACTGTAAAGCAACTGACCTCCCAGATGAATTCG